CTAATGTATAATGTTAGATGTTAATAGCTGTCTTTTTTTATAGCTCAAGGAATATACACTCACTTCCGAAAGTTAAGCACAGAGATGTAAAATAAAAAAAAAATAAAAAAAAAAAAAACAGCAAATATTGCTTTGATTGACACAAAATTTGGCAGGAAAGTAGCATATATATTTCTGAATAATATATATATATTTCTGAATAATATATATATATATATATATATGTATACAGAAATGAAAACAATATTAAATTTTTGTAAGTTATCAGATAATGACATACTGGAGACTTAAACAGAATTATGTATAAAGTGAAAATAAACAGCATAAAATTCAAAAAAGGACATTAATAGGGTATGTGATCCCCCCCCATCTGTATACAAAGTTTACACCATGACCATGCATTCAATTAGGTGGTCAACCACCGCAGAATTAAGCAATCACCATTCTCTTGTAGAGCAGTTTCCAGCTCAATAAGAGTGGCTGGAGGTGGGAAATGTGATGATAAAGCACAGCCGAGAACATATCAAAGATTTTGAATGGGATTAAGGTCGAGCGAATATGCTAGCCACACCATATGTGCAATCCCTTCAGGTAGTCATCGACGATGTCAGCTCTATGGGGACGTGTGTTATCATCTATTAAAACAAAAGTAGGGCCAACTGCTTCAACGTACAAACTCACAATGGGTTCTAGGATTTCATCTCAATACCGGACAGCCGTCAAAGAACCCCGTTTAAAGATGTGCAGGTCGGTGCGGTATCCTAATGAAATCTCTGCGCACACCATAATGCTTCCGCCTCAGAATGTGTGATGTTCGGTGATGTTTTGGGACTGATTGTGTGTTCGTTGCTTACGCCATATCCTTATATGCTTTTCGTCTGGCTCCAGAGCAAATCTTGACTCATCAGTAAACATGACATTGCCCCATTCAGACACATTCCAATTGACATGTTCACGGCACCACTCTAATCGTGCCCCTCTTGATTGGATGGATAGAGAAACACATACTCGAGGTACCCGGGCTTACAGTCCACTCATATGTAATCTTCGGTGTGCAGTAGCTGCAGATGTCGCCTTACCAATGGACGCTGTAACCATAGATGTTGCATGTGTGGAGGTCGCTCTGCGATTTCGCTTGGCTACAATAGCAATATATCAATCTTCCGCAGGGGTTGTAATTCTTGGGCCACTGGCTACGGGCCTTCGGACAACTATCTGTGTGGTTTGGAATTGTTTTCATAAACGTGAAATTACAGAATAATGAACGCCGAAGAAAAGAGCAACATCTGTGATCGACTGTCCTTCTTCAATGCACCCCACAGCACGCCAGCGCTCAGAATCTTCCATTTGTCTTGAGGAAGTCATAGAAACACGTATATCTTGAAAACAAATGGTATGAAAGTTTTAAACACCTTCTATCAGCACTTACAATCAACTTCTGTAACCCTTCATAAAGCTGGCTTCTTATAAGACTGCTTTTTTTTGCATATTTCTTGACATGAAAGTGAGATTGGCTGTTACCTAACATATTTGTATTCTTCCATCTACCTCTGCAGCGAACTGCATCCTCTTCGATTCTAATTGGCTTCCGGAAATTAGCATTTTCCTCTCCATGCTTAACTTTTGGAAGTGAGTGTATATGAAACTGTTTTGCCATTTTGAAATCTTTTAATTACTCATATCTCCATAATTATCACAACATCCAGAATGTATAAAATCCTTTATTTAATTTTTATCAGTGATACAAATATAAGACAACAAACCTTAATATGTTTTGTTGTTAATATAAAAATACTAGGTAATGTGGTTAAAAAACATGTTAAAGAAAATCTCTACAAAAACAAATAAAATAAAAAAATTTGTTTTGCAATAATTATATGTTGGTAATGTAAGCAGATATTTACTGCTATAATAAATTTGAGAAGTTTTTTCAATTCATATTTTCTCTCAGTACAGTCAAAATCATTGCTTACCTCACTGTATTTTTAAAGTAACATAAAAGTAATTATTTATTAATAAAATAATAATTTAAAATTATATATAACTTGTATAACTTAAGTGGCCAAACCCTACATGTATGTATGTGTGTGTAAGTAGGCAATGTATATATATAGGTAATGAAGAGCAAATGTAGCAACCGAGAAATTATTCTTTTTTCAATTGTATTTAAACACTTTGTGGCTACAATTCACTAGGCACATTAATCATGCCTGTTTCAGATTAGTTAGATTTTAGAAATAGTTGTGATAGGAAGAAAGGCATTAAGCAATGCCTTATTGAGAACAGTTAGAAACCAAGTGCACAGTTATCCGATATAGGAACTCACAGAGTTTCAAACAGAAGCACTGCATGTAAAAATTTTAAAACCATTCTATATATTTATTTCACTGAGCAAGCAGTTTGTTTCATTGAGCACATAATATAAATTTTGTTCACTTTTGGCAATTACACATATGGAATAAATGACACTCATAATTGATGATCTCAGCTCATGCTCAGTACTAAAACTGAAGTGTGCAAAAAAGTTCACAACGGGAGTTGAAAACATTTCTCGTAAACATCAATTCATAATTGCAATGCTAAGATCATTCAAAAAATTTCAAGTAAATTTTGAAGTAGTGATGGTTAACTGCATCTTTAAAGCAGTTTTTAAATCCCAAATGAGCACTCCTCCCACTTTCCCGTTCTTAGATACCACACAGAACACGGATGACGATTTAAATATGAATGCAGAAAATAAAATCAGTGCAGACTTGCATTAAAATTTTCAATGAAACAGAACTTTTCTCACTGTCGACTAATTGTAATAAAGTTGGAAGAAGCTTATTATAATAACTTGGCATGGCAGATGGATGCATTTACCATAAACATGCAGATGTGGCCAAATGCGATTGTTTCCTTTATATTCGTGTTTGGCATACATTTTTATTTAATTCGACAGTACAGTCAAAATAATGTTGGTATAATAATCAAATTGGTGCTAAAGTGCATTTTTCATAAAAAACATTTTACATCAGATAAACTTGAAAAATGTATTTTTTGAAAGCAGTACACAACAGCATATTGCTACAGCAAAATGAAAGAGCACAAAGAGAAGCGAAAAAAGAGTGGCGAACGAAGAAGAGCTCAAGATTGTACAGCAAAGATCTTTTATACCAAGACATGATTACACTAACCATTACATTTCTGATCACATTTCAAGAATGTGTACATTAAATGATTTAAATTTCAAGATGCATAATAGATTAATATTGTATGCTGGGTTAAGATTTTGTCTTCCAGAAATAATTGCACAATAAAGATTGGATGATGCAATTAGGGGTAAAAGGCTTATTTTTAATGTATTATTAGAAAGGTAGATATCTTATATTTTACACGCACATGCACACATATATATATGTGTGTGATATTTCGGCATCAGAGTTCAGGCATGTTTTTTTACACAATAGTAAGGCTAATCCAAATGAAGAGGCAAGTTGATTTAGCTTTTAATGCTACATCTTTATTCCATAGCTTTAATTCAATTTTTACCGTAGATCATGCTTTACTTCATATGAAATTCTCTAAATCACATATTCAATAGTAGTTTAAACCAAGTATGACTAAAGTTAAACTTTATGCATCATTAATTTTTCTAACAAAGGAAAGCTAGATCAAGCAGCAGCGAGATGTATAGCACAGGAGGAGAGGTGAGTTTCTAACGCAAAATGGCGCGCATTCATTATTTTTAGTAGTGGTTATGTAATAGGTTATCAAATTGTAGAAGGTACTGGTCTTGGGGAAAGATCCTGAATTGCAGAAAGTTAATTAAAGGTTGCATGTTCGCAAAGAGCAAATCTGTCATGTTTTTTTTTATATATTTTATATACATATATAATCAAATGAATGAGAGGGCAATAATACTGTTAAAATTCCAAAGAATCCAATAAAGTAAAAATTTAGAAAGCTAATGAAGAAAACTAAGAATTGCAATTTCAAGACTATATAAATTCCAATCTAATAAGTCGTAATAGAAAAGGGAAGTAAGAAAAATTAAAACCAAAGGTAAAATAAAATTGATTTTATTTAAAAGGAATTAGAAATATTGTAAAAGAAAAAGTGACAGATTTAAAAAATTGCCTTTATTACACAAGCTAATAGTAGTGGAAATGCATAAGAATTGAGATGCAAAAATTGTGAATAAAAATTATAGCAATATTGCAGAAAATTTTATATACATACACACACACACATACATTATATGTATGTGTCTGTGTGTATATATATATATATGTTCAAAACTATTTGTCAGATATGTATAAGGACACAGATATCATCGTGAAATGTGTTCAGACAATTAACTAATATATAAATAGTGAAAGAAAAGAATCGTGGTGTAGTATAGGAGAGTAATAAGCTATACAAAAATTATAATTGAGAAAACACTATTTACTGATGGTCTTTTTATAAAGTCTAAAGTTCTCAGATCAAACCTTTGCCACTTAGAGGGTTAATTTTATATAAATATGTAATTTATTATACTTTATACTCTGTAATCAGTAGCATCCCTTCAAAAAGCATTATGCAGAATGTTTTATGTGATAAGTAGGTTTTATTTCTTTTATGAACTGAGGCTGATTTGTATGATATTCATATGTGTGAATTCATATGTGTTAAGATATAAAAAATGTAAAAAAACGTATATTTATATCCTTAATTGGCAGTATGTATTTAGTCATGCAATCACTAAGTATTTAAGTAAATATCAGAATTTTAATATATGTATTCAAATTTTTGATTAGTTGCTAAAACTGTCTGTACCTATCAAAAAGCAAAATCAGACTACTATCAGCTACTTTTAAAGTATTCAAATTACATTTTGCAACTTTTTCTTTTGACTAGCGATAACATTTATTGCCTTTCTCTGATTGATAGAAAAGTTTTTCTGAGGATTGTTATTGTTAAGTACAAAACTTTCTTAAATCAGAGACACTGCATACTAAATATGTTTTGTTTTTTAGATATTGTCTTTGCATTGATTGATGCTACACTTGATCGAAATGACAATGTTACTCAAGCTGTACAGCTATCTCTATTCAATATTGGGAAACATCAACCGAATTTAGTCCTTAGTAGCTGCCATTCATATTTAGGCAGACATCCTAAGGTAATAAATAAATTTATTCTAAGTAAAAGGAAAAGAGTGCTTTAATGTGCTAGTTTGTTTGATATGAAGTGTAAAAGTATCACATGTCATTCTGCTTTTCTTTAGTAGCATACTGTATGATCTTCTTGATAACATGTGTTTAGAATTCACATTATTTATTTCGTATGTTTAAAAATGATTAGGATTCTTCATTAAAATGTTCCTTTTATTTCACAATACTTTGAATCTCATATCAAGCTTTAAAGCAGCAACACTCTATTAAATGAAAGAATGTTGAACTTGATCTTTCACTTCTTTATAAACTGTTTAACAATTTCTAATTTATTTTCAGTTAATAAAATAACAATTTACAGAATTGTGGCATAGTAAATGCATAGATTTCAGCTCATATGGAATCTCTGTTTGTGTATTTGTTTTTTGATCAAAATACACAAACAACAGATCAAAAAACAGTTTTTTTTTTTTTTTTTTTTTTTTTTTTTTTTTTTTTTTTTTTTTTTTTTTTTTTTAATCTGCTGGCCATAATGAATTAAATAATATTGGAAACTGTACATACAGCTTATGTAAAATGATGTTTCAGAAAATCAAAATTAAATGTTCAAATGTCTATCTGCTTACAAGATTGTGGCTGTAGTTTTTAAAATTTGCTGTGTAAACAAATGCTTCAAAAGGTTATGACTTATATCAATAAACATTTCTCTGTAAATATTAGTTTGCAGATTTTCTTCAGCTTTCTTCCACATAATTTTCTTGCTCTGCATGTCATCTTCCTCTCCTTTTCTGTTGAATAATGAAAAAGTGAGTGTATTAAATTTTTAAAGATTTAAGTGCCTGACTCTTAACTTTCTTTGGTGGCAGACAAAAACTAACATAAAAGTACAGAATAATCTACCTAAAAATAATTTGCTAATTCCTCTTAAATTATAAAATCAGTCTCTTCGAAGGAAAAAAAATCAAGCATTTAAATACATTCCAGGCACCTAAAAAAGCATTACAATTTATCCAAAACCATCATTTAAATGCTTATAAGTAATTTTTTTTTTTTTTTTTTTTTTTTGCTGATTACGTGCTCTGCCCTTAGGCACTGCACGGAAAGGGAGGGATGCCCCGTGGGAGGTCTTTTTAAGGGAAACTGGCTTGCATCCACATTACACATGGGAAAAACCACGAAAATGCCCATGCAGCCAGCCCGTTTGCTGAGATTCAAACCCCGGATCGAACTACCAGTGTTCAGCGGCTTTAACCGCTGGGCCACTGGTGGGCTAAATAAGTGGTTAGTACATAAATTAAAGGGCACATTGTGAAACCCTATAGTAACAAAACCTCGAGTAGAACTCCAAGTTTCTTAAAAGCCGTACGGATCTAACAATGGAGTGACTGGGCAGACCCAAGTTAGGTAACACAAAATAAACAAAGAAAAACATAAATATACTAATCAAAACACATTTATTAATTCCAGACTAAATTTAGTTGGATAAACTGATCAGTATCCTACAAAATTAACCTTAAAATGAAAAATACGTATATATCATTCCAAAATTAACACTTATATTAATAGTAAGTATAAATTTTTTTTTTAAATGTTCTATAACTCACAAATTTAAGTGGTTGAACAAATTTTCTAATTATTCGTTTACAGATACATTAAAATAACTTGACATTACTTAAATCTTCAAATCATTTTGTTTACATGTAAATTAATGTAATTGATCATTATTTAATTCATCTGTTCACTTCGTTTACATGTATATTAGTATAATTTATCATTACTTAGTCACAGTTTAAATAGAAAAGACAGGGGAAAAAAAATCATCACTCACAAGTTTATACATCAATCTTCTATTACTGGAGATTTACTAAGTATTTAAGTACATCATTAAGTACATTAAGTGCATCATCAACTGAATATTAGGGATATTTAATTTAATAGTTCAACAGATCTTCCTGCTTATTTAGTTTGACCACCTAGGAAATCTCTACAGAAACCCTAATTGGGCTAACTGCCAGATACAGGTCAAGAATCTTTAATGGCTAGGTTGACAATGAGTTTTACATACCAGTTTCATGTGCAGGCAGGGTGAAAAGTATGTGTAGAATTATCTCACACTAAATTGCGCTTTTTGTCAGAAACACAAGATGCTGGATACTGATCAAAAGTATTTAATGGTTTGGTTCACTATGAATTCACATCAGTTTCGAGTTAAGAAAGGATGATCATGAGATGCAGATGAGGTGAAAACAGTGTGCGAAAATCTCAGAGTAAATTTGACTTTGCATCTCGTATTAAATTGCTAAATCATCTCGGACTGAATTTTGCCTTCTTTTGCGCAGATTGTCAAATAGGGCCCCTCGCGAGAGAGTGCTCGTTTCGCTACTTCAGTAGGCGAAACTTCTCCTAAGCAACCTTCTGTAGTTAGCCATAGAACTCCTTAAGTTTAAAACTTTTCATGTTGCCTTTCATATCTTCACATAACATTTAACACTTATGCTTTTTCTTTAAATTCATTTTTCTTACCCTCCCCCTGCTGTCCAGCACTTGTAATGGGTGAAGGAGTGTGTATATTGGTACAATTTTCAATAACTAGCTACTAATTGAATTTGTATAAGGTTAGTAAATTAAACACACTAGACTTCTAAGACATCTTTTTCAAGAATCTGTACCTAATGTCTTAAGTTTAAGTACTGTTTAACTTACAAGAGTTGGCTAGAGAGCCTAACTTTCTGAATGTTATTTATCCTATTCATTGAAAGCTAAATGAATAAACTCACGTTATTGAGATGGATGAGCCTGCCAGTTCTTGCACAGCTGTTCTATTCTTGAATGTATGTTGGTAATATTGTCTTAAATCAGCATATATGTCAATTTCAGTACTTTGCTTTATCTTGAGTTAGTGATCAAAATTCTTTCTCACACAGATATGTAGAAGCAAAGAGAATTACAATCTTTAAAGCTCCAATGTTAACAATTCACTGTATTCTGTTTTCATTGGTAATGAGATCCAGAAATTAGCAAGACTTTCTGCTTGGAATTTTAAGTCTGATATCATTTGAAAGTTCAGTTAACTGTTTTGTGTCATCAAGTGACAGTTTGTTATCTTCAGTATCACAATGGAAAGAATTACAAACCTATGAAAATTTTAACACTAGGAAAATAGTTTCAAATTTTGACGTCGGAGTTTCAAGATGCAGACATATGCCACCGCATAATTTTTTTTTCAACTTTTTCAATGATATCATTTTCTCCTAAAAAAAACTTTTCTGAAGTTGGAAATGGCAGAAAATTTCTTTTTTACACAACTAATTCGCAAACCAAGTTCCCTTTCAAAGCTCTTTTTCTCATGAACTTTGAGAGCAATAAAAGAAATACATTATAGGTGGAGATTTAGTTCATTTAGTTTTTAGAATACATTTGAAACATATGTCAAATGCCATCAGCAAGAAATGATGTAGAATCTTCACTGATTTTGTTTACAAATAACATTTTTTAGAAATCTATGAAGTCCATAAAGGCAGGCTGTGAGGACCATAGAGAAATGCTCTCTAGACAATTATTTGATCCATTGGTTGGATTTTTACCTTGTTACATTGGGTTGACAAAATCATAAGATAAATACTATTTTCCACATTTATGTCTTCAGAAATTTTTTCTTATGGGCATTGAGAATAATGAAAGAAATACCTCATACACAGAAATTTAATTCATTTAGCTTTCAGAATACATCTGCGAGTATGCCAATGTACCTAACCAAATGCCATCAGCAAGAAGTGATGTAAAATCTTTGTTGATTTTATTTACAAATAACAGGATTTTTTTTTTTAATCTAGAAAAGCGGCAAGGGCAGGCTGCAAGGACACTTGTGGTTCATTCTCATAGTAGTATCAGTCCACTGCAAAGAAATGCTGTTCTAGATAACTTCTTTGTCAATCGTTTGGATTGTTGGCTTGTTATGTTGGGCGGCAAAAACATAACAAAAATATATTTTGCATTTTTTATCTTCAGACTCTTAGTTCATTATTTATTTTTTATTTCATAGGCCTAAATTTTGGATTTAAATTTAGTACTTTGCCATTATTTTGATGTTGCTGGTTACGAGAGATGTTGCTGTATTTAAAATTTTAATATGTATGTACATTCTGTAATGTAAGTATTTGTGATAAAGTCAATTTTAATATGTTTTATTTATATTTTTAGTTGGCTTTAGTTCACAAAATTATCATATTAGGAATTATTGAAAAAATTTGTAATGAAGCATTAGATTCAGTGAAGAAAAATGTAGCAGTAGATCTTATCAAATTAGCTGTGGAAGAAATGGTAAACACAAAGGTAAATAATCTGAATGAATAGTTATTGTTAATTTTTTATGAACAATTAGATGATTTGGAATTCATTCTGATATTGTACTTTTGTCTCCAAAGGAAATAGTGCCTGAGTGGCAGGGTGTTGCAAGTGGAATATTGGTATCTTTGGGCCGAAAATACCACAATGAAGTTATGGAACAACTATTAATCAAATTTCAACCTGGAGTTTTGCCTCATTTTTTTGTCATCCAGACTATGGCAAATCTTGCATCTGCAAATGGTAATTTTTTAATAATAAATATAAATTACTCTATTTTGTGCAGCATGTGAATATTAATTTTTTCAATATTTTTCCCCTCCTAAACCTATGCAGTTTTCTCTAAATGTAAAATTTTCTCATCCATCATTTCTTAGAATTCAACTGTTAAATTTTTATGTTTTTCGTATGTTTAGAAAATAAAGTTAATTTCTGATAGCTCTGATAGTTAAAGTTTATTTTCCCTCAGGTTTTTAAATACAATAATCTTTTCAGTTACTCTTATCTAGTCTCATTTATAATGTTTTCACTTTGACTAATCATGTTTTTGTCAATATTATTTTTTTGGCAAATCAGATTTCTCCTGCCAATTCTAGGAAAAAATTCAGTGCACAATGTATTCTGAGCAATGCATTACTTCATTCAGAAAGAAAATTGAAAAGAGATTATTTTTGATCCCAACTTTGAAAAATTTTCAAGCTTATGTTTCTAACAAATTGCTGTTATCTTTGGGTTGTATATATTTTTTTCATTAATTCCCGTTTCTTTTGCTTACATTGTTTCTGTGGATGTCTTATGTTCATCTGCACACACCGCTAGCTGACATCACATTGTTTCATAATAGCTGCTCACGCCACCAGCTGACACTACATTGCCTTTACCATTATTCTGTTACCATTTATTCTGTAGAAGCTCATGTGTTTTTATGAATAAGTTGTGTTAGTAAAATTGATTGTTTAGCTATATAGGAAGCAACACCGAGCCACATCCACAACTCTTACGATGGCGAACCATCTACACACATGAAGTTTCAAATTTAGCCTAAAGCTTGTTTGTTTCAAGACTTCATTTTCTTCGTTTCAGGCACCACCATGGATGAAATAGCAGCAGTAAAGATACTGATTTACAGTCCTATTCATTTTACATTGTGGTTTGCTATGTGTGAATCAACTTTTGCTTTAGCCAAAGCCTATTATGGATTCCAAGATAAAATTTAACTATTGCATCACTCATTTACACAAGAAATTGCTTCTTTGGTTTGAGACATGATACTTTAGGAGCACATTAATGCTTCTTATCAAGACCTGATGCTATCATTACTGAGCAATGTGGGGAAAGCAGTACCCAGGAAATCCAGAAATTACGCACTGGAGAGCAACTTGGAGAAAGAAAACCACCTTAACTGCTTCATGTCAATAAAAGGAGTGCTGAAAAACAAGATTCTGACTCATTATTGGAGTTATTTTTTCAGCAAATGTCACCAAATATTCCATCTATTCTCGTATCTATTAAGCTGCTCAATTCTTTGAAAGCTGCTAGCATTGCAGATCGAATATTGGAGTTACGGAGAAAGTATGACAGTGACTTGTACTTTACCCTCTGAGTGTAGTTGCCTTTTTATTAGAGACAAAAAATCGGATAAAATCTTTTTGTACGACACTGGCTGAGATCTCAGCAACCAAAAACGAAATGCGTCAACACCTATTTTGACGTTTTCTGCTGCCAGCAGTACAAAATTTCAGGTGTATGGACAAAAACGTTTTTTTGACCTTGGACTTAAAAGTTTTAATTTTGCTTTTTATGTATGTGAAATGTGAACAAATGTTATTGGATCTGATTTTGTACATTATTTCGATTTACTGTCTGACTTAAGAAATAGGAAGCTTGTTGATTTAAAATCTAACTTATAAATTAATTGCAGTATCATCAACACACATTTGTATTCTATCAAAGCAGTTATTGCGAATAGCGTACGTGGTAAAATTTCTGTCAACTGTCCTTAACTGTTGAAGCTTCCTGATCTTAATGAGAGTGTTAAGCATAATGGTATGCATTTTATTGAAACTGTAGAAATTCCTGTGTCATGTAAGCCTAGGAGATTAATTCCAGATAAATTAAAAACTGCCAAGAACAAAATTTAAAAAAATGATCAATTTAGGCTACATGCGACCCTATGAAAGTAATTACTCCTCTACTGTACACATACAGTATCAGATAAAGACACGAACAAATGGAGACATTTGGAAGATTTTTGGAGGTTAACTGCTTTGATAGTGAGGGATAAGTATCCTATTCCCAACATTTGTGATTTTACAGCAGAGTTGCATGGAACAAAGGTATTTTCTCATATACACTTTCAAAGTAGCACCAGGAACTGGAAGTTTGAGAAGGGTAGCCTCAGCTATTGCCTTTTTGGCACTGGTGAATTTGAGAGGGTGACCTTGTACTTTACTCAGCTGTGAAGGTTTCTTTTTATGAATGCGACCTTCCAATAATCAGATTCCAATTAATGCGTCCATGATCAGATTCCAGTTAATCCTTCTGATATTCATAAAATGGCTATTGCCACTTCTTTTGGACTTTTTGAGAGTACAAGAATGCAGTTTGGACTATGCAACCTTGCTGCAACATTTCAACAATTTATTGATGAAGTAACTTGTGAGCTGTCAGAGGCATTTCCTTATGTTAATGATATGTTGATTATATCAGAAGAAAGAGGAAGCTAAGCAATTGAAAGTTTTTGAAAGATTAAGTAATTATGGGTTAGCAATTAATGTAGCTAAATGCAATTTAGGTGCAAAATCTTTTGATTTTTTTAAGTTTTCATGTATCTGAATAGGGTTTAAAACATTTACCCCACAGATTGTAAGCCATTCAGATTTTTCTCATACTAAACTCTTTAATGCACTTAAGAAAATTTTTCAACATTTAACTTTTACAAACGATTTGTCACAAGAGCTTCACATATTTTATAACTTTTAAATCCATTATTGGAAGGCTGCGCTAATAAAAAAAAACCTTCAGAGCTGAGTTAAGTAAAAGGACACCCTCTCAAATGGGATGACAAACTAAGAAAGCATTCATCACTGCAAAAAAGGCAGTAGACGAGGCTACCCTTCTCAGATACTCAGTTCCTGGTGCTACTTTGAAACTCTATATTGATGCATTGGATGCTGCGTTAGGTAGCTCATTAATGCAATTGCATAATTCAGTTTGGGAACCCATTTCATTTCTATCCATTAAACTCAGCAAAAATCAAAGGAAATGCTCAACCTTTGCTGAAGAACTATTGGGTATACATTTGTTGATAAAGAAATTTCAGCTTATGCTCGAAGGCAGGGCCTTTACAATCTATATAACGTGTCAATCTATATATTGACATATATATGATATATGCTTTTAAGCAAAAGCCCCAAAAATTTCTCCAGGACAACAGTGTCATCTTGATTTTGTTGCCCAATTTTCCACTGATATGCAATACATCAAAGGTCGTGACAACATTATTGCTGATGCTTTATCTAGAACAGAAATAGATGCAGTTTCTGATAATCAACATATTGATTATAAAAAGTTACCTGAAGCACAACTTTGAAAACCTGACATTAAAAATTCTCTCTCTCAATCTTCACCAGTTTTTAAACTAGAGAAACATTTTCTTTAGAAGATGTTACTCTTTACTGCAATATAGAAGGTATACCTCACCCATTTATTCCTGAATCTTTTCATTCTAAAATTTTTCGGCAGATTCATTGTCTTTCTCATGCCATTATTTCATCCTCAACAAAACTAATCACTAAGCAATATTTTTTACCAAATATGAAGAAATTTGTTAAAACTGCTATTCAGTCTTGCTTATGATGCTAATGTTTTAAAATTCATAGACATTCAAAATCACCTTTAAGTATCTTTTCCTTGTCTGATGCAAGATTTGCACATATCTATATTGATTTCATAGGTCCTTTTTCACCATCTGCATGACAATTATTGACCACTTTACTTATGTTATAAGTAAATAATGATGTTATATCTGCTGTTGACATGACTGCTCAGACTACTTATAAAGTGCTAATACATAACTGGATTGCTAGATTTGGCTGCCCTGTGTTAATAACAACTCACTAAGGCTGAATGAAGGATTTGATGAAGGTTTTTTTCGAACTACACTTACCATCCTCAGTCCAATGAGCTGATAGAAAGATTTCATAAGCAGCTTGAAAATGCAATAATGCCTTATAACAACCCCAAATGGACTGAAATTCTGCCTGATATAAAACATATGAAATATTGAAATAAGTAATGAAAATATTGACCAGCAAAACAGTTATTCTTATGTTTATGAAAAAATTGCATGATTTACTTCAGAATAAAAATTTTAATAAAAAAATTAATTTTTCGTTTTTTAATAAAATAAATTAAAAATTTAATAAGGGTTTATGTACGAAATGTACAAAAAAATTTTTAAAATCTGACTTCCAACCTAAGTGCTCTTTTTTATCATAATTTTGAATAACGAGGCATTTATTTATTCGGTCTAAGGTCCAGTTACATAGTCATACTTTAATCAGAAATGTACCAATCATATGCTGCTAGATCATTGGTTGCCAAATAACTAATTTAACCAATAAAGAAAATAAATGTATAATGTCTCACAAAAATGATCAGACACTATAATTTTTCTTTTTTTTTTTTAAGTAATAAGAGAAAAGCTTTGAAATACAGTAATAAATAATATTTTCCCTTTTGAATACATATTGTCTTGGCTGTCTCTTTGTACTAAATTAGTTTGAAAAAGTTAAATAGTAAATTTAAAAAATAATGTTTTAGGCTGAAATGGAGGGGGGAAGATACCACAAAATTAATTGGACAGTTCCATAATTTCTAAGTAAAATCATCTGGAATAAAATAGAGATTTTATGGAATTAGTGTAGATAAAGAAGCTAGGCAAAAATCTAAGAATCGTTTGCTTTTAGAATTTCAGTTTTCTTTTTAAAAAATGTTTGTTATTTTAATATTTTTTTCAATTGCTGAGTCATAAAAGGAAACATTGTTAGAAATCCACAGATTACTTATTGATTTGCATTAAAAGAAAGGGAAACCTATTAAAAAATTGCCTATTTAATGTAAGTAATTCTACAGTTTTTGATATTATTAAGCTTTATAAAAAAACAATCATCTAAAAAACAGCCATCTAAAGTCATCTGATGGAATTAAACTCTATATTCTAAGGAATATAAAAAAGATTT